GGCAGTTTGAAGAGGGAAAAAGCTGTCTTAGCTTCAGCTTTGATGTGACTGCTGAAGTTCAGGTTTTAGTCCAATCAAACCTCTGGATTAACACAAAGAATCAAAAGCTCAAACTCTTGTGTTTGCATGTTTGAACATTGTTTGAGGAGAAAAGCCATTCGGGGTCAGACTTCCCGGGATCAACTGTCTGGTGTCACTCCTCTAACCCAGTGTTTTTCAACCTTTTTTGAGCCAAGGTACAGTTTTTCATTGAAAAAATCTCGAGGCACACCACCAACTAAAAATGTCAAACAAATCTGTAGCCGCCTATAGTAACACAGTTATTCTTATTTTATTCTTATCTTATCTTAAGTGTCTTGAATAGGAATCAAATAAACAAAAAAATGTCTTTTTATCGTATTTTATATTTCTTTTTTCAAATTGTACTTAACATGTCTACTTCAATATACAAAATTATATACAAAATCTAGTCATAAGGAATTATTACATGATTACTCCACCAGTCACTAGAACAGCACACACACTCAAAAATGGAATATTATTTGCAGATAATTAAGTACTTATCAAAAAATCTTTTTAGACCAATTAGGTGAAATAGGATGATTTTCTACGGCACACCTGACCATCACTAACAGCACACTAGTGTACCGAGGACCAGGGGTTGAAAAACACTGCTCTAACCCCCCTAGAGTCAGACCAGAGTCTTTAGGCCTAAAACACGTTTAAACCATCAGCCAATAGCTGTTTGACTTAAGATTCTGATCTATGAGCTTATTATCTGTGTAATTCTTTTTAAAGCTGACTGAAGTCAGACCAGACAGAGAAACCTACAGCTGTCAGTACATTTGAGGAAAGATGCTCATGCAGGAGATTTTCTGTCCTAAAAACATCATCTTTCATGTTTTCTCCTCAAAAAGGACAATAAAATGTTCATTTCCTGTGTAACTTTGCAGTGAGGGTGAAGGATCCAGCAGAAAAAGAGCCTTTGTGCTCTGACGACTCTCGATCCAAACCAGAGCCCGACTCAGAGAGCCCAGAGCCCGACTCCACAAAGTTTTAAAGGTGGAGCCTTTGGTTGTTCTCCATCTCTGGTGAGCTTTGCTGTCATGGAGCTCCAGCTGCCACCGCTGCCTTGTGCCAACATTAATGCAGAAACCAGCATTTGATTGTTCATTTCTCTGCTTTCCTTTAAGGTCCCAGACGGGAATCTTCGCAGAGGGATCTCCCAGGACTCCAAGCAGAGGACAGACTGTCTGCTGTCCGGGTGCAGTTCATTATGGAGTCTCTGATTCTGTGCTGAACCAGCTACTGGATAAACTCCTTCAGCACGGTGCTATGATTACCTCATTGACTGGCAGCCATTTTCAGAACAGAGAGTCGCTCACTGCCAGAGTTTTTTGAGCATTTTGACTTATTTTTCAAGAGCCACAGAATAGTTTGTGCTATGACTATGT